AACTATCCAATAAACAATTTGAATTAGATTATTTTGACCTAAATTTGTTTTTTGATTTTCTATTTTTTTATTATTGAAGTTTAGATGAAGCTTTCCAGAACAAACTAGCTTCTCATGAAACAATTAGTACACAGATTGTTTTGTGACATTGGTTACCAACCCCATGACATGCCAACACTCTCCCCTTCTCAACCTTGGGTTCCCTATTACCGGCTGTCCTGTCCCCTCCTGCCTTCTAGTCCTTGCCCCTGGGCTAGTGTGCCCCTTTAGTCTTATTTTGTTTTATGGGCCTGTCTAATCTTTGGCTGAAGGGTGAACCTCAGGAGTGACTTCATTACTGGGCTAAAAGGAGGTCCGGGGGTCGTACTCTTGGGGTTTCTCCAGTCTCTGTCAGGCCAGTAAGTCTGGTCTTTTTTTGTGAGTTAGAATTTTGTTCTACATTTTTCTCCAGCTCTGTCTGGGACCCTCTATTGTGATCCCTGTCAGAGCAGTTGGTAGTGGTAGCCGGGCACCATCTATTTGTGCTGGACTCAGTCTGGTGGAGGCTGTAGTACTTGTGGTTCATCAGTTATTTGGATTAATCTTTGCCTTGGGTCTTTGGTTTTCTTCATTCTCCCTTGCTCCAGACAGGGTGAGACCAGTGCAGTATCTTAGATGGCCGCTCAGAAGCTTTTAGAACCCCAGACGCTACTCACCAAAGTAGAATGTAGAACATTTTCTCTATAAACTATGTTATGCCAATTAAGCTAGATATTCCCCAAGACCATGGTCCTCCAGCCCTCAGGCCAGCAATTCGGTCCCTCAGGGAGTTTGGAATTGTCTGTGGAGCTTCCACGACCTTGCCTTGTACAAGTTGTGCTGGCTTCCCCAGTATTGTGAACTGGATTTTGACCTAAATTTTGATGCAAACAAGGGAAAAAGTAAAGACAAGTTTAAAAACAAATAAGAATATCCTCTCTATTTTCAGTACAACATTCTGTAAAATAATAAAATTGACTCCCAGTGCCTTCTTGATAGAAAGGAGGAACAGAAAGGCAGAGGCATTCAAATGGCAGAGGATGTTGTCTGTAGTCATCTGAAGTTTCGGCAGGAAGTCTATTTGGCCTAAAATAACCTAGCATGTCTTACATCAGAAATTGGAGGTCATATCATTTTGGCTACACTAAATATGATAAAGTATTTAAAATACTGCATTCAAGGTAAGATCAAGGTCTTGAGATAGTCACCCTCTATGCTCTAGCATACTTTTAGAACAGTGTCCTAACTTGATTGAAATTTATTTTTATTTTTAATCAGTCAAAGAAACAGTAGGAAAAAATTTTCCCCTGAAAATTGCTGCTATGAAATATTTTTTCCCCCAAAGAGTGTCCCTTAAATCTCAAAAAATGAACACTTGATTACCTAGATCCTAGCTGAGTAAGAACTAATTAGCAAAATACAAATCAAAGTACTGTGGCACTCGTGATTTTAATCTACAGTAAAATCTGGGTGTATCAGTAAGCTGGTGAGGATATAAATTGTGTCCTTCCAATGGTTTATATCTAGAAACGGATCTGATGTCAAGGGGAAGAACCAGACAGGAACACTTAGGTTCCTGTTTCTCATGAGTATTTTGAATGACAAAAGAACATGCTCTCGAGCAAATGAGACCCACTTCTTGTTTATCATATCAATTACATACTTTCATTAAACTGTTTCACTGGTAAAGTTAATTTTTTCTCAAACTCGTAGTTGTTAAAATGATAGGGTTGACATACGTAAAATCAGTATAAATAGCTTTTAAATATCTGGAGAGGGAAGGGGACTAGCAGTAATGGGAGCATTTTCTTTCATTTTCTAAAGTTATATAAGCAACATACCTTTAAATGAAAATGTGAGAAATGAAAAAAGCAAGGGAAAAAAAAACCACCTGTAGTCTCTCCACCCAAACTCAACCTCTAGGGACTCTATGGTATTTGCATGTATTTCCCTCTGATCTTTTCCTCTGTTTGTGTCAGTTCTGTAGTCTAACATATATACAGAAAAGCACACACAACTTACATGTACAGTTTAATAAATGGTTAAAAAGTGATTGCCTGTGTAAATACCACCCAGGACAAGAAATGAAACATTGCTGGAAGTTTCCTCCATCCCTTCCCCTACCTTTCTCCCTGAAGTCACTGCTATTCTGACTTTTGTGGTAGACACTACCTTGCTTTTCTTGACCCATTGACTACCTGGGCGGTTACCGCTTTTGTATACACCCCCAAACTATCCACTTTGAATCTGTTTTTGTGCTTTATATAATTGTATGTATACTATATATTTTCTTTTGTGCCAGGCTTTTTAAAAATTCAATATTATGTTTGTAAAATCCACCTCTGTTGTTGTACATAGCTGCAGTTTAGTTTTTATTATTGTATAATATTCCATTATATAAATACGTCACAATTTATTTACCTATCTACAGGTGGGCATTTGGATTGTTCCCAGGGTGAGAATATTATGAATAACGATCTTAGGAAGTGTGTCCTGGTGCAGATAACCATCGATTCCTTAGGGCATAGATCTGGGAATATCATGGGTGGCCATAGGATATGGGTTGTAATCATATTTTGATATTTTAAAAATCAGTTTCTAAGTGGTGTTTCTATTATTTCACACTTGTAATAACCATTATTTTTGATGGATAAATAATATTCCATTTGCGGCTGAATCGTAGTTTATTTAACCAACCTCTTGTCATTGTTTCTATTTTTTTTTCCAGTAATAAAAATGACACTGTAGATCTGATTGCAGTTACATGCATGTGCTTACATTGTAAAAAATTTATCAAGCTTACGATTTATTCTTTTATGATTCGTTCCTCACTTATTCAATTGTGATTGCTTGACTTTTCTATTTGTATGATATACTTTAATAAAAAAGTTTACAAGAAAAAAGGGATGTGTTGAAGGGGTGGGTGGGGAGAGGAGTGCAGATAGACTGAAGTGAACATCTTTGAGCATAGTTTAATTTATATTTAAAGTAATGTAATTAGCATAGATTACCAGAAAAAGATTTATATTGTTAAAGGTATAGGAGTCATATTTTACAGCCTGGTCTTTTGTAATAAATTTATTACTCCATTTTCTAATTTATTCATAAAAGTGATACAAAATCTTAAAGTATATAGTACTTAAAAAAACAAAACAGACGTACCATTTCATGAGTTATGGCCTCTTACATACACAGAGCAGTTTTTTTTGGTTTGTTTTTTCATGAAAGAGATTGAAGCAAAATTATTTGAAAGGATTTTTAGGGGATTAAGCATTGAAAATCTGCCCTGTCAGGAAAATCCTAGAATTCAGCTTGACCTTTCTGTTCAGGTACAGTTTGAAGTCATGAAATTCTGTAGTAAATTGAAATTAAAGTATCATATTTTCCAAATTCCACTCTTTGACATCTCCTTCGTTATTCCTTTGAGAATAATTTTAGAGTTTCTCCATGCAGGCTCCCAGCCCCTCACTTCCTACACTACCTCACCACCCACTGAAACCTTTTAATGTGCTTTGAAAGCACAGAACCACGGTTGCTAAGAGACACCTGTGTTGAGTGCACTTTCTTTTAGCAAGATCAGAGGGAAAGAAAAGTAAGGAGCGGTGTTATCTACCACCACCTGGGATTAGGTCAGGTGAGAAATGGATCTCTACTCACTCCTCAGTCCCCACCAATTGTCTTGTCTTCCCTTCACTTCTTATTCCAGTCTTTCTTGCCGTTTCTGGAGAGAGTTGAAGGGACCCCTTCGAGCACAGTTTAAGAAACACAAGCTGGAGGATGAGCCTACAGGGACTTTAGTCTTTTTTCCTGGGGATCAGAAATGCTTGAGGCCAATATTTGCAATTTGAAAGGAGAGATAAGTCACTTGCAAACCCATGTATTATTCTTGCCCTTTGTTTCTGGAATACAGGCAAAAGGAATATTTGAATCTAGGGAAATTCTAGGTGTTTACTTTGCCAATGATTGCTGTGTTAATTAGGGCAAATCATTCCCTCCTTTAGGAATGGGACAACTTATTACAGAAGTTAATCAAGATTGCTAAAAGTGGGAGAAGTCACCGGGATAATTCTTACCTGTCTCCCTCTCTTTCTCTTTTAAATTTCAACCTGCCTTTTAGGTTTTTGCGTGAAAATAACAAAGTATTTTCTTGCTGAAATCTTCCCACCATCTTTAAGGTATTGGGGTTCATTTTAAGCTGAATATGTATAATGTATAAAGAATTTGGTGTAAGGTTTTGAAAATTACTTGACTTTTGTGTTCTTAAATTCCTGTACAAGGGGTTAAAAATGGTTTTAAACTCCCAGCCTCACAGGTATTCAGTAAAATGTTCCAGCAGTGTGGAAAACAGATCATGAATTAATACCTTTTTAAATTCCAGCTCTTTTAAAAAATAACTGTTTTATTAACACAGAAATGTGGAGGAAATTAAATGCTTGATGTCTTATTAAGTGACCAAAACATGAAAGAGAGGATCATGAGGAAAGATCAGGGAAATGACAAAGGATCTTTTGTTGTTTATTTAAAAAAAATTTTATCATTATCCACTTTTCCTCATGTCTTTAAATTCTTGTTTCCTCGTAACACCAACTGAGCAGGTTGGAGGAATGGCAATTTCACTGATGCAAAAAAAAAAAAAATTATTGCAAAAAACTTTGCAGACAAGACTTCATAAATAAACTAATTACTAATAACATGAAAAGAGGATGGAAATTATGACAGTTCCTTAAGCTATTTTTTTTTTAGAAAGAAACTTCAGCATATAGAAAAGCCTGTGATTTTAACATAAAACAATCAAAATAAGTGAGAAAAATATTTTAGTTCATTGGTTGACTACAAGCTGGTACAGGGTTCTCCCTGGAAGACTTTTCTTTGTTACTATTTCTTTGCAAACATTAGACTAAGTTGAAATAATCAGATTACAAATGTGCTTATTTGAGGACACTTTTCTCTTTTTTGTCCTAGAGAGAAGCAGCATTCTGGATATGACGTGTAAAAACTGGATATTAATTTCTACCACTACTCCCAAAAGTCTGGAGGATGAAATTGTGGGAAGACTTCTAAAAATTTTGCTTGTTATCTTTGTTGACTTAATGTCTATTATATATGTTGTTATAACTTCTTAGAAAGCTATCTTCCTTTACTTTACCAGTACCTTTCATGTTGAGTACTAGTGAATAAAAATTTGCATTTCATTATGAGTGATTTTAGTTTGATGACATCTCATTTATTCCATAAGCCAACAGGACAGCACAACAATAAAAATATTATGATTTATCAGACATTCACATAAACTGGAGTGGAAAATTTTTTCTTCTATAAAGCCTACATCCCTGAATCATAAAACTTTTTGATTTTTAACATGGTTGTTACTTGGTGGGTTAACTAAAACTTATAGGTGAAATCGTAAGTGAATTCATTTTTTAAGGATTTATATCAACGTAAAATTTTATCTGGTTCTGTTTTTAACACACAAGCTTACAGTATCAGGTGAATCATCTTTACATTTAATAGTTTATTCTTATATTTATTATTAACCAATAGTTTATATCCGTTCGCTTATGTAATATTTCATCTGTTTGTAGGTATGTTGTTTTTCTTAACCCTGAGCAATCAAACAAGTGAGAAATGTTTCTACTCATAAAGACTTAAGAGTTTGGAATACCAGTTGGATTCGAACTGCTGACGTTTTGGTTAGCAGCCACTGCGCCACTATGGCCCCAGAGTTTGGAATAGAAATATTTAAAAGATGCATTGAAGGACATTTAGCATACTGACTTCTGTGGCATTAACTGCCAGTAACCTTTCCCCTGGTGGTGCAGTGGTTAAGAGTTCAGCTGCTAATCGAAAGGTCGGCAGTTTGAATCCACCAGCCACTCCTTGGAAACCTTATGGGGCAGTTTTACTCTGTCCCATAGGGCCGCTATGAGTCTAAATCAACTCCACGGCAATGGATTCGGGATTTTTTTGGGTTTAACCTTCCCCTAAGCTCTCCATATATGTTCAAACACCCTCTAGGGGGAAAATGTTGCCCACAGAGAGTCACTACAAGACCACCAGTAGCATCTCAGTTTTATAGGTGAGAAATAGGAGGCGCTCTAAGCTTATGTCACTTGTCTAAGCCTGTTCATCCAACTCCTACAAGGTGCTGTGGCCTCCAACTTGGCCCTGGTGGTACTGTCTTTCCTACCTACCCTCTGCCTTCTCTGAGAACATTTATCTGCTACTGACATTTCACATCCATGGTAGCAACAGGGTAGGTAGCACAGTGCTTGTCCAAGGGAGGGGCTCAAAAATATAGTAATAAATGGACAAGTAAACAAATGAGAAAAGATAAAACTACCCTCTTTCCTGCTTGGACCAAAAGCTGGGGGAGAAAAGGAGAGAGAGAGAGAGAAATACTTAAGAGATTCATTTAGGAAAACAGGGTGTTACCTGTATTGATTTTCTATTTAGGAGTAAATGCTTAAGTTATATTATTTTATGTGAGACTCTTAATAATCCTAAAAGGCAGGTGTTTGTTGTCCCCGTATTACAAATGACAAAACTGAAACTTGAAGGAACTATGATAGCTTGAGGCTATAACTAGGAAGCGGCAGAACCAGGTCTTGAGCCTTCACAGTCTGTAACATCCTGTTGCCTCCAAAGGCAAATAATGATATGTTAGTAAGATACATAGGAGTCTCTGGGTGGTGAAAGTGGTTAACAAACTCTGCTGCTAACTGGAAGTTTGGAGGTTGGAGTCCACACAGAGGAACTTTGGAAGAAAGGCCTGGCAATCTACTTCAGAAAAATCAGCCATTGAAAACACTGTGGAGCACAGTTCTACTCTGAGACACATGGGGTCACCATGAGTTGGAATTGACTTGACAACAACTGGTTTTAATAAGACAAGAGAGATTAAAAGCCAATCTGTAGAGTTCAACTTTTTTTCACAGTAATGCTTAAACTACACTTTCTTCAAAATCCTAGCGCCATTTTAGTGTTGCCCCTGTTTATTTTCTTATTCCACATTCAAAAACATTGATCAGGAAGAAAGACCAAGTTTGCCCTTCTCTCATGTCCAATTGGACAACGCATTCCCCTCCCTTGTTTCCTTAATTCCTTCATTTTCTGACAGTGAGTGTTAAAATATAACTGTTGAACTTCTGCTTTCTAAGCTGTTGAAAAACAAAGGTCTCTCTGTCCTTTAGACTTTTTGGGTTTTTACGTTGGACACACAAGCTAAACAAAGTTCTGATTTCTTCCATGTGATGACCGTCTTCTCAGATTTGGCCCAGTCATTTACTGCAAGATTTCAAAAGAAAGGCTAATGAAGTGTGAAAGGAATCTGGGACCTTTGAGACACATTACTTAACTGACCCTTACTTAACCTTTCAGAGATGTTGTGTATTTAACCATAAGCCAAACAGAGGCAAACTGAACATTCACTGTAACAGAAAATCCTACTGTTTTTTTCTACAGTATATTGTCAGATTCTTCTTTTGGGGTATAAGGGTCACCTCCTGTTGATATGATGTGTTTCTCCCCTATCTCCTCTATTTGAGGCTTGTCTGACTCTATTATCAAGTTACTGACAGGTGAGTAAAGTCAAATCCCGCCTTCAGGCAATTGTTTCTTTTCTTAGAAGCTTCCTGGCAGTAGGCAACATGACAAGAAGCATGGACTTAAAAACCACACTGCCTAGGTTCTAGTCCTGGCTTTGTCTCTTAGAGTGTAATAACTCTATGGCTGAGCTTCCTTTCCTAGTTAATAAGCACCTATGCCAAAGGTTCGTAGAGATGATAAAATGAGGCCAATGTATAAAGTTCTTAGCACAGTGCCTGGAATAAGGAAAAACATCAATCCATGTGGATTGCTGTTATTATCCTCAGGTGGGAGCAGATGGGACATGGCTTCCTCCAAGCTGATGTCAGCCAGCCTGTCTCCCTGCCTGTTTTACTCTTCCACTTGTACTTAGAATGACCTCACATTAACCCATCCCATTGGCCCCAAGAATGTGATGTGTTCCACTGGAACCTAGGTGTAGTTCGACTCAAAGGCAACAGGTTTTTTGGTGCTAAGTGTTTAGCATACATTATGTAATTTAACCTGTACTAGCAAGTCTGAGGTGTTAACCATTTTACAGATGAGAAATGCAGACTCAAAGAATTAAGTAAAATGTCCAAGTTCACGCAGAACATTCCAGCTAGTGGTGGCACAGCTAGGGAGTGAGAGAACCAAGACCCTCCCCGCCTGCCCCTAACTAGAAGCATCTGCCTCTAGAACCCTGTTCTGAACTATTCAGTTATTCTGCTTATATCAGGCCAGACAGACTAATTATCTCACTGGTTCCTCATTTGGAAGGCAAGCAGTTGTATTACAATGAGGCATCTGAATCCTACACTTAAGGCTTCAGTGTTGCATCTGCCCCAAATATGTCATGAAGTCTTGCAGTGTGTTGTCTACCCACCTTACAGGCAACTCTCTCTCTTTTCTAAGGCATCAGTCTATAATAAAACGGCATATGCATTCTCCAGTCTTGGAATTTTGTGTTATCAAATGTGAAGTCAGGCTTTGTAAACATGAGTCTTAGCTCACTTGTCTGCATTCAGTAGACAAGGAAATTAAAGCTGTGTCCATAAAATCATTTTAATGTGAATTTATAAATAGTTGAAATAATCCCAAATGCCATTTTGAGCAGTTTGTTTCCAAAGAACTCACAACTGACGGACAGGTAAATGTGCTGGTTACTTGGGCTTAATGACATCTTTTGTGTGACCACTACTGTACAGTTTATGAAGCATTTAATGTCTCATTAAAGGTTGTAGGTGGTCGAATACTTGCGTGCCCACTTGAATGAAGTGACTTACCGAAAAAATGACCAGATACTCATTCCAAGTAAGAATGGACAAGTCTGAGCCCTGGGACGAAGTAGTAGGCATGATCGGGATGAACTACTTCTGTGGAGACTGGGGGTAAGCTTTGAGAGATGATCTTAAATGTGTGGTGTTTGTCTAACTGAGTAGGCTCAGGTTGTTTTTCTGGGTGGTTCTTTGCATGGCTGTTGATTGCTGACCTTACTAGGAGCAGTCCTACTAACCAAGCAAGCTGAGGGCAAGATGTCATGTAGGCCAGCCTGAGATCAGCAACGAGCCCAGACTTATTTATAAACCCTCAGAAAAGGTCTCTGAGCGTGCACTACCATCTGACTTGGGACTAGGCGAGGGAAGATTAGTGCGAGAGAACGGGAAGACCTTGGTTGCCAACTGGGTTTCCAGTCTGAGCTGTTTGTTCTTTCAGCCAGGAGGTGGCTACAGTTTGTTCTTGGAGCGTCAGCATTCCTGGATGCCCGTATAAGGTGTAATGTTAGGGTACAGTGGCTGACATTTTGGGTGTTGTTTATAGAGATTGATGGTGACTTGTACCATGGAGATTATTTACTCACTAAATATTTGTTAAGCAGCCACTGCCTATCCAGTAACATTGTAGGAATAGGGATACACTGGTGACCAAGGAAGGCAGGGTTCCTGTCCTCCTGGAGCTTGCTTTCCAGTGGGGGAGGCAGACAACAAATGGATAAACACATGAGGGTTTCAGGTGGTGCTAAGTGCTGTGGAGAAAATCAAACAGAACAACAGGAGAGAGGGTTTATGTGGGGAAGATTACATTAGTCAAGAAGATCTAAAAAAGCCATTCCTAAGAAGGTGACATTGGGGTGCAAACCTAATCGATGAGGACCCAGCCAGCCAGAGACCTGGGAGAAGACTGAGCACTTCAGATGCAGAGAACAGCAGGTACAAAGGCCCTGAGGCAGACAGAACGCAGCGCAACATTACAAAGGCCAGGATGACTGCAGCTGAATGACCAAGCGGGAGAGCTAATTCCTTAGGATTGAGAAAAATCAGCTTTGATGTAACTTGTGTATTTGTCCATAAACTGGATGGTTAGGGCAACTTTCTCACAGAGGAAGGTAGACACCATGAGAACCTCTGGTGTTCTGTGTCCTTTGTGCCAAGACACATCACCACTTACACTGAACTGCCCTCCCTCTGAGGGTTGAAAGTTTTCCATGGTTGTTCCAGGCTGATTATGTCCAGACTTGAGTTCATCACAATTTTAGGAAGCTCCGCCTCTGCTAGAAGATGAACTAAAAATTGTGTTTTTAGGACAGTTACTAAAAGACCATAAGCAGATAAAATTGCATCTGCTATAGTTTTATTGAGATATAGTTCACATCCCACACAATTCACCCAT